CAAGGATCGAAAGGCAAGTCATATCAAGTGGAAAAATAGGGAGCGCAATTCTCAGCAATTAATTTTAAATTTACAAGTCCAAATTTTATTACTACAGAATAATCAACCTATAAATCTGAACATGGCGGCCGCTGATAGACAACATATTTATCAAACTATTCAAACAAGTCTTGCACATATTCCATCATATATTGGACAGGAATCACTGGATGATTATTGTAATAGGATTGAAACAGCCATCAGCTATACTGATACAATGATTGCTGATGCTAATACTGCAAATGCCAATACTTTTACTGATGCACATAAGGCAGATATTTATAAATCGAAAATGGCAGGAAAGTATTTACCAGTTCCACCTCAACATGCAGGAAATAATATTAATACTCCAGCTCGCTTTAGAACATGGCTTGGAGATACCTATCTACAAAGAACAGTTGGTACTCACCAGTCTGCTATTCAAAGATTATTTCAAGAAACGTTTAAGACTGATGATAATCCAGAAACATATAAAGCTAGAATTCGTCAATATCTATTAGGTGTACCTGATAACGATGCTAATGCTTTGGGATTTCTTATGGCTCATCTACCTTCTGAGCTTTTTATTTGGATGGAAGGAGTAAATCCTGGCAGAATCACAGCTTTTTTTAATTCACTTAAAGAATTATAGCTCAAGCGTCAACCATCACTTGACTATAGAGATTCAATTCCCAATCAAATTTCTCAAACTCCAGCTGTTAATATAGAAAATAAATCTCATTCTAATAGTAGTGATATAACTCGAGCTGAAATAGATATGATAAAATCACAATTAGCTTTAATACCAACCACTCTTCCTCGGTCTACACAACCAACTTCTCAAAGACAAGAAGAACAATTATTACGACCCAGTCAAATAGAACCAGGTAAAAAATATAGGGACCCAGACCTACGCTTGAATGACCAAGAATGGCTTTGAATGGATGAAGCAACAAATCGTCTTAGTGCTTTAGCAGGGCTATCTACTTTACAATCATTAATGGATACTATTAGTAAAGGAGTAATGGATAGAATTACGCCTTTCTTACCCAATAAGAAAAAAAATACTTCTAATGATGATATGGATAAAATTACTAAGGATATGGCAGAATTATCAATAAATAAGGCTATAGCAAAAGATATTGAAGCAGGTGTTAATGCTATTATTAAATCATTCAAACATCATTGTTCGAATTGTAATAGAACTGGACATAATTCTCGCAAGTGTACTCGTAAGAAAAGATCAAAAAGTAGATCCAAAAAAAGAGACAGTGTTAATAAGGTTGCTGTAGATTCAGATTCAGATACAAACTCTTCTGATAACGATTCTTCAGATAATAACTCCGATTCTGGGGATTCCTTATCTGAAGTTGAATCTGATCATAGTTTTGATGTACACTTCTCTAAAACAAAAAAAAACAAGTAAAGTGAAAGGGTAAATCGGATAAATTATTATCTAAAAAGTCTGGTTCAAAGAAATATTCTTCACAAAAAATACAAAAGAATTCAGGTACGATTATCGACTCACAAATTCGAAAAATTATTCTAGCTATGTTTAACGATCCAGAGGTTATAGAAACAATTAAAAACAATATTAATAATAATAATACGAATTTATCTATGACTCGAAGAGTCACTCCTGAAGGGCCTGCAAAACCTGACTTTATAAATTATTGAGAGCCAGCTCCAGAAATACCCGAATCAGACGGTGAAGATGAAATGATAGATGATCCTATGGAGATAGACTTCGTTATAAAGAAAGAACCTACTACAACTATACCATGTAAAATTAAACGTCTAAAAATTCCAGCAATGACATTAGATTCAGCCGTCCAACTCGTGATTGTAACAGATGACATTGTTAAACGTGTGGGTGTAAATCAGAGATATATGATCTCAGTGGTATTGCTACAGTTCCAACTGAATCCATTGGAGTCGTCCGTAATTTACCAATAACATTCCCTCCAGGTTTTACTATATATGAAGATTTTGTAGTTGTGAAATATAAAAAGCCAACATTAATATTTTCGAATCCACTTCTCAAGAAATACAAATGTGCTATAGATTGGGCCAAAGATGAGTTAAAAATTTCTTTTAATGGGAAGGATCATATTATTCCTGTAACTATGCACAATGTCAAGAATAAACTCGAAGTAAATTGCGCTACTGCATCTCAGAATGATAAACCTTTGGTATCTGATCAACTTTCCCAAGAGATGGATAGTGATAAGGATGACAATATAACATTGAAGAAATGACATGCTCTTGCGGACTTTAGCCCAGATTTTGATGATCTGTCATTAAAAAAAAACGCATGAGTTATGAGGAGTTAGAAAAATTGCTATATACTACTCTCAAGTCTAAAGCTGAAATAAATGATCTTTGTGAAAAGTTGCAAATGCATTATGAAAAGCTACTTGAATATATCTCCTCTAGAGATAATAGCATAATTAAAGAAAAGATAGATCTAAATAGTACCTAATAGGCGAGTCATATTTGCTTTATTTTTCTCATCTCTTCTGGCTTCTTTTTCACGTAATGCAACTAGATCATTACTACTTATTTTTTCTGTCTCATTAGAGTTATTAGTAGGTGTTGAATCAGATATGTGAGAGTGGAGCTCATGACTCAAAGAGTCGCTCTGAAGGAGCTTATTATATAATACAGATTTAGTCTGAGATTTGGATTTTCTCTTTTTTGTTTCTGTATTGAAAGTGGTAGATGTCAGATGTAGGTTTAGAGAACTATGATTCAAAGAATCGTCTAAGGACTTGTTCTGCAGTAAAACCTCACTTTCGATTCGTAATCGAGAATTTATTTGCTGTTGGCATTCTCGATTTTCTATATAATCAACAACACGAGAGTGGGATATGTGATATTTTTTTGCCATTATATTTATTGCGTCAGGTACTACACCTATTGATCCTTTAATTTCTTGAATCACCTCATCTGAAAGAAATGTTGCATTAGCACTATAATATTTTTTATGGATACGTCCCATATCAGAAATATTTTTATTATCACATATAAAGAAAAGTTTCGAAAAGTTTCGAAAAGTTTCAAAATGTTTCGAAATGTTTTGAAATATTAGTTATACATATAGTAGTTGATGCATAATGAAAAATATACAAATATTCTGGAATATCTTAGAATGTTTCAAAATATTTCAAAATAGTTTATTATATTTAAAAATATACAGATATATGAAAAATAATATTTACTGAAGATATATTTTACTTTTTGCATCTTATTCATTTTTTATATATTATCTATTATTTAGCAGAGCAAACACAGACGCAAAGTGACATTATTCCATAATAGGTGCTAATATGTTGGCTAATATACATACATTACAAAATATTAAAGACCATCAACTTGATAGTATACGCGAAGAAAAGCTAGAAAAAAAATATACGACGCTATCAAGTCCAAAGCCAAAATTAATAAGCTTAGTGAGAAATTGCAAGATAAATACATAAAGCAAATGAAAGCGTTTGATCGGAAAAGAAAGGGGTGGAATCAGGATTTGTTACGAAATAATACCAAGATCCAAAAGTTATGCACCCACGCTTTGCAGGTTATTAATGAGCATAAGCAACTACAAAACGAAAATACCAATCTTATTTCTCATAATGCACAAAAGAATATTTTTATTGCTGAATTTAAGACTGAGAATATTACGAAATCCAAGAAAATCAAATCACTCGAGTCTATGATCAAGATATTGGAAGGTAAGTTATCTTCAGCCCGGAAAGATGTGATTTCAATTCAAAGTGACTCATCGAAAAAAGAAACTGAGATTGCATCTCTCAAATCCAAAATAGCTGAATTAAAACAAAAGTTAGTTTCAACCGTTAGTGAGCTTGAGAATCTGAAATCAGAGGCTTTATCGAAATCCATAGTTGGTGAGAATGACGAAAAAAATATTACTAAGACTGATAACATATCTGCAGTATTGCAAAGCAGGCCATTATTGCAGAGCAATG